AAATGCCTACATGCTAAACTAGGAAGCATTTCGTCTTGTTATGCTTCTGGGGTGGCTAAATTAGCGGGAAGCAAACAAAATGTTTTGCTGCCCCGGCGCCTAAACGTGGACACATTGTCTCGGAAAACAAAGGGTCACGTATGTCCATTATATTAAACTGACTCCCGAAGAAGTCTGGGAAAGAATTTTTGCACATTTTCGTCGATTTGCTTTTGTAATACTTTTGTGATACGATATTTCTCTGACATCTGCACATCATTTTGACTATAAGCCACTTCCCTTTTGTCCCTGTTCATGAAATCTTCATGAGCTACATCCCACGAACAGGCTCTGTTTTCATACAAGGTAATGAGTAACTCTATCTCCTCGTCCTTCCAATTCCTTTCCTTTTTTTCCCTTTCCCTTTTCCATGACCTGCTTGTGGCTCTTCTTCTTCTACTTCGCCGTCAGCTTTTGTTCCGACGCGCACCATTTCTGGGAAACAGTTTTTAATGAGGAGCACTGGTGGCGAAATTGCGAAACATATCTTTCGAAAGCAAAATTTGTGTCCGGGATACAAAAATGTTTTCAACTGAGGCAAAAACTTTTAGGTGTCTCTGAGCAGCAAAATTTGTTTCCGCAACATATGTTTCCCGCACGATTAAGCCTAGAAACATTTGCCTCCGCTACAATGTCTCCGCAACAATTTTTCCTGGTTTAGCGGGGTCTTAACACAAAAAATACCGAGATGATATCGTAAGTACCGCTCATACATTGCAGTACGCTGTCTGTGGATTCGTGGCCTCCCATTATTGTCTTTCAATCTTTATCACATCGTTTCCGTTGTTCATGCTGGTAAAATTTATCGAAAGGCAACTTCATTTAACACGTGACCCGTGCATGATCAATGGAAAAGTTCGCAGATGAATTCAGCCCGTCAGTGAATCTTCTCGTTCCACTTTTTTGTCTGTCATGTGCAAACGATAGGATCTTTGGAACTCAGCATTCTTTTCAGTATGCTTCTTCTCCTCTATGTGATTTTACAGCCAAGAATGTTTGAAGTAGGAGAGGTAGAATTATAAACGTACTGTTGACATGTCGAGCCGAGAATGATCGAAACAAGCCAGCGAACTTCGATCTCGCCTAGAAGCCCTTGCACAGCATGGCGTATCTTCTAATGTGCCGCGAGATGTTTGAGACTGATTGTGGTTTTGCTATTCAGATTTTACACTGCTGCCAGATATTGGAAACACTTTGAGAGATTTAGATCAATAAATCAAGGAGTTTTGTTCCGTAGTCTTAGGATTTGGTCGTATGTATGCAAACCTAGCTGGAAGCTCTTCAAGAATTCGATCTTAATACCACGTGACTGCACATGTTGATAGCAGGACGCCCGAGGTTAGCGCGTGTGGTTGAACAGTCAAAAAGTGCGTCAAAAGATAAAACAAATACACGATTTGCACCCCGTTAGCGACAAGTGAATGTCATCGACCTCCCAGACCACAGTGTCTAGGTGTTGTCAAAACGTATTTTTCTGAATTACGACTGCATGAACGCATGATAAGAGTCGAATCTTGAGGATTTCCACCATAAAACATGCTGCGTAATGGTTTCTTTCTCGTTGCCCTGACGTTGGGCTATGTTGGATGCATCTGGAGCTGGGATCTTATGTTAAGTAAGTATTATTTTTCCATGTGAGGTTATCATTTCAACACATTCTTTAAACCTCGAGAATTTGCGCTGTGGCGCAGAAACTGATTAGCCCCAACATTCAGAATAGCAATTTGGAACTTTTAAAACAAGGAGCGATTGCTTTGTAAACCTGTGTGATGTGTGATTTTGGCGAAAACGTAGTTCATGTGATGTGAATTTGGCGGCCGGTTTCAATAAGGAACTCTATTTCTCAGCATGATGTAAGTCTAAAATGTCTGTTCATTAAGCTCGATCTCCTTTGAATGAAACCGTCCAGCAATTTATGCACTCGTGACTTGATTTTGCGAGATTTTTGACCCGGGGATGGGTACTCTCGATCTCAGTAAAATCGGGTGGGAATGTGCAGCCCACTTCCCAAAACCCCTACCCCCTAAGGCCAAAATCTGTGATTTTCCTACCTATTTATGACTAGACCAAAAATTTGATGCCCTTTTTAAGACCTGACCCTTAAATCAATATCCTGTTTCAGACCTGTCTTAAAATTAGTTTTCTAATTCAGACCGATGTTAAAGGCATAATGAAGGGCTCTCGTTGATGGTTTTATCGATAATGCTGAAAAAGTAGCTTCTTCTAAAAAGCATACCGAATTCAAGACTACATTGCGGAGTGCAAAAACCATACCCTATTTGAGACCAAAATGGCCAAAATCAATACCCTATTTATGACCACTAGTCATAAAAATGGTCATAAAAATGGTCATAAAACGTTTGAAACGTTTGAGACGTTTCGAAAACCATACCCTTTAGGGCCGCACATACCTATATAGTCCATATAACGGAGTATCCCCCCGGTTTTTTATTTCTTCTCCTTACCAATCATCGGAAATTTCTCTGAATTTGAGCTCTCGACCAAGCATCTACCGGTAAATCAAGACAATATACTTCTAGTTGCAACTTTTAGTATAAGCTTTTTATTTATTACTATAATAAGAAATACGATTTCGGTTACTCTGTACAACAGATGAAATGGTTATGTTACGGACGTTTTAGTAGTCTAGATATTTATTGTGCTAGCACCGGCCGGTATGACTGATGCGTACATGGAAATGAATTCTCATTGTTTGATAGATATTGGCAGAAGATCAATGTTTCTTTTCTCAGAAGAAGTCAGCTATGACAAAAATGAACCCGATCCCTGAAGCCGCCAAAGGCTATCGTCAAAATATCTTGGTGCAATTGGGTCAGGTACCGTTATTCCTGAACCAGAACTAAAGACTACTTATTTACGTCTTTTACGCCACCGAAAATGTCCATATAATAATGTTTCAAAGTTTCAGTTCGATTATAACCGAAAATCGTTTTTCTAATGCCCGTGTAGAAAAGTTCGGGATTTCTGTTGTTAGATAAATACTGTGTAATTACGCTCAGTGAATCTGGTAACTCCAGTGTACTGACTTCATTAGAGTTTCTTTAGTTTATTTTTCCTCGCTACCAAATTTAAGGGCCGTCTACAAAAATCCGTATGTAGTACGCAAGTTTTAGCAGGTTTCTCTTGGGGTAATGCGTGCGGATTTTCTCTTTTTTATTTTCTTTGTATTCAGCAGTGAGAGAAATTAATAAACGCAGGATTCCGTAACGTTTCGGAAAGTCAATTTAGCTAAAACAAGGTGGATATGAAAAAGGGTAGAAGTCAGTGTTACTCGAGAGTTCTCCAGTCCGCTAAGTAAAAAGCCAATAGCTTCTGTAAATGACTAAGAAAATTACCTTACTGTGATTGGCTGAGAGCAGGCCAATTTAGCGTTAATTTTTGATTTGCAGTACAAATTAACAAGCGCGCGTTGGTAAAATTTCGGAGACAATTTTATGTCACTCGTGGTGTAAATCTCGCATTCATACGATTACCTATACTAATTGAATTTTTACACGCTATCAGATTATATTGATATGATGGTCACTAAGTAGTTTGATGACCTCTCTACACAAATAGAACATTATCTGACAAAAATCTCTTTTCCATATGTCGAGCAATCTCTGGAAGCGATGGAAACAAAGATATAAATTGCTGATAATAGTTATAGAGGGGTATTGAAAGCGAGATAAGCTTTCAATCCCCCGAAAAATTTATGGCAGGCTTATTATATCATTCAGTCTCAGCAGATGCACAGTAATTTACTCTTTTGCTGTATATTGTTCGGGGAATGGTTTCAAGGCTCAGCGCGTGCGCTGTTTTTTGCATTAGCCCATTCTATTCAATGTTTACGAAGCAATCGAAAGTCGAGCTTATGGGTCTTGCGGGAAATTTATCTTTAGGAAAGGCGATTAAAGATTGTGACGAAAATTCAATTGACCAGGGTAAAGATTAAGGTAAAGATTATGCGTTCAAGATATCTATTTACGCGTGACAGTTGACGAGGGCCCTGCTTCGTCAGTTGACGAGCGCTTAACCCGAGTCACCTATCACGTATCGATTTAAGACAAGAACTGACGTAGAGAAGTATAATTAAAAAATATATATTGGGTCACTTGTCACCTAGTTCTACACAAACTGCCAACTTCTCTCAAACTACTTAACAATTAGACTAAATGAGCTCGAGATTTCTATCAGGCATAGAAATCGAGATCAAGTAATCTAATTGCTTTAAATTAGTATAGATCTACTTGTCGTTCAAAGCGTTGTTTAAATCCACTTCACAAGAAGAAAGAAAAGAAACAGCTGTCATTTTGTTGACAACCGCACACTGCTTGGCTACTCACTATCTATCACAGAGTAGATAGTGAGTAGCGTAGCCAATAAGAGAACGGCATTCGTGATAGAACGCTAGTAGATTTATACTAAGAGCGAATAGTGAGCTTGGGGCAGCCGAGTTGACTAGTATTTTCCATCGCCGTTAACATCCCCCCCTCTCTCTTCGGCCCTAGCATTTCTGTCAGATTCGTTGACAAGATGGAGAGAGGCATCGTGAAAGAAACGATTAATTTAGTTGTTGTTGATGCTTTTGCCTCGAGGTTTTTTGGCGTTTTTCTCCTTTAAGGTGGTCTGACTTGTATGGAGATTAAAGTCTCTTTTGCTGACCATCCTTATGCAACCTCTCTGTAATTTTTTTCTTGTATAGTATTTTATGTAGTTTTTGTATTACTTTGGACCATTAAGTTATAAATGAATAAAAAATAGTTAAGCGTCTTACCCAGCAGAAAGAAAAACATTCGGATAGGGCTCGAATCAGGCTCCAGAAGAATAATAATGTATGTTCTGTGTGCAATGTAACCCGTGCTATATTATTGAGAAAAATAATAATAAAAATAAATGATTGTTTACAACAGGCGTCTTTCTTTGTTATTGTTTTCTTTTTTTTCTTTTCTTTTTGGCAGTGTACTTCGACAGAGATATGGACTTGGTTATCAACACTTCCTCATGTAAAATGACTTGGGCTTCTGACTACGAATACCTAGGCACTGTTGAGGACCGAATATTCAACGTAACCACAGACGAAGGCAAAGAAATGACGGAGGATTTCGAAGTCTGCAAAATCGAATTTACTTCGTCGATATTTATTGGGCCAAGAGTGCGCGTAAAATTCAGTGGACATCTAGCACTTTCTTTAATCAGCACACATGGGAATATCGAAATCAATTCGCCGTTAAACATCAGTGGGTTTGAATTGTCGGTAAGCTCAAGTGTTGGAGGCTACGTGAAGACTTCAGGCGATGGCTCAGATGCAGGTAGGGCTAATATGAAACTTTCTTTAACAATTACTGTCAGAAAACACGAGTCGAATTTGCGAACTCAAGCTAAAAGAAGTACAGTTCTATCAAGTTTTATAGTTCACCACTAAATTCGACATGATTTTTGAACTGGCGCGCGGAAGAAAACTTAGTGGTGAACAATAAAAGCAATAGAGTGTTTATGTCTCGGAACTATCGGTCTGATAGTTGCCTCTTGGAAATTTGATGTTCTTAAAACTAACATATTTCTTTTAAGAACATCAAATTTCCGCGGGCAACTATCAGCTGATAGTTCCTCGACAGAGACACTCTATTATTTAAATAGAAATACGTTTTCCTACCAATAAGCGTGCGTATTTTCGTCGCGCTAATTTCCAAAATGCGGTAACGCCGTTTCAAAATTGTGTTTAGTTTTATTTAGAAAATAGTCCAAAGAAAACACGCACGCGACAATTAACCTAGTCTAAAATTAACCTTGCTACTTGTCATTAGTTTCCTCCTGTTTATCCAGCAACTCTATAATATGATACAAAACTAACACAAGACATTGCTTCACCCAGAATGATCAAGAAAGCCTCTAATCTAACCTATTTTCGATGTATGCCTCCTGGTGACAACGTGTTTGTTGCTCGGTATATGTAAATCTGCAGATTAAAGAGCAGGAAGTAATGATTGTTTCGTTTCACATTCAGGCCCTGCAAATGTCTCAAACTGCAGCTCACCTGACTTGTACGGACATGATTTTGACGCGCTCTTAGGAGGAAGTGTATGCTCATTTTGTAAGTAGCAAAAAAAGTCTTATTTGCTGTTTTCACAGAACTTAAACAAGCAGTATTTTCTAGAAAACGCATTAAGCTCGAAGAGAAATGACTGTGAAGTCGACTGCTCCTGAGCTGTTCTTTTGATTAATCCTGTGCATTCCCCCGCGGCCGGGGGGAAGGGGGGGGGGGGAGGGGGAGGTCCCCAAAGTCTCCAAGAGTTTTTGCCGGGGTGTCGGGCCCGAATCTTGAAACCTATACCCTATTTAAGACCAACACTAGTGATTTTCCATACCCCATTTCAGACCTGAGTGAAAAATCGGTACTCATTTTAAACCTCCAAAACTAGTACACGGATCTAATATAAAACCGCAGCTAACCTTTAATGGCCTCCGTTTGCGTGAACAGTTGTGAAGGGCTGCAAATTTGCCAATGTTGATGCCGAAAAGAATAGTCCCTTGTAAACAAAATACCTAATGGCAAGGCAGAGTGACAAAGATAACCTATTTCAGACCGAAATGGTCAAAATCTACACCCTTCTTCACACCAAAACCCCTCAAAAGCCATACTTTTTGATGCCGCACATGCCTATAAAACCCATATAAGGGACTATCCCCCTCCCCCAGAATGCATCTTCAAGGCTGGTTTCCACATGATCATTATCGGCGATGCAAGAACGATTCGCGATCGTAGCGATCTTATGGAAACCACATTCCAGCGATTGCAACGATCGTAAAATAATTAAATGATAACCTTTAGTTACCCTCGGCAGCGTTTATAGTGGGGCCGAGCAAACAACTAAACCAAATAATTCAAATTGAACACAGCATTGTTAAGAATCCCAACTGGCCAGCGACAAACCAGTTGGCTATTTACAAGCGTGACCGAGGGGCTACCGAAAAACAACTCCAGGTAGTGGTCAGAGCGGAACTTGAACCCGGGACCGCTAGAATGCGAGTTCGACGCGCTGATCACTCGGCCACGCTGCCTCCTCCAGCGATCGTTAGTTCTACCGATCTCAGCGATCCTAACGACCATATTGAAACTGGTAGTCGTAGGGATCGCTCAGAACTTTTGATGTAGCGATCGCAGTGATCTCATGGAGACTGACCAGCCTTTAGTCCCCTTTCAATATTATCTCATATTTTTACACACTAAGTACGCAAAAAACTGAACTAACCAAACGTTTTGTCCTCAAATGCAGCGTATGGGAACCATCAAATAACTGCGGTTGGAGGCGGGGCCTTGGAGTTGAGAGCAAGGAATGGAGCGATTGTCATAGGTATAAATATAACGATTATAATTATTTTCTTCAAGTTCGCTCCTGTCTATATGGTCTTATCATTCGCTTTATAAGTTACTTCTTATAACAAGCCTCCTGATCTGAGAAAGAAGTAAGTTTTGTTGATACCACACATGGCGGGAGAAAGGAAAATCTAAGTAGCCGACAGGAGCAAACCTATGACTTACAGTGCATCAGTAAGAGCTCCTGAGCAACAGGCGAGCTAGGTCATGTGCCCTGTATGGTGAAGGGAACTTCAAGGAGAAAAGCTTGCTGTGTGGAGATGAACAAAGAAAAAACGACAATTTTTATACCCGGTACAATGGAATGAGAACGATTTGGTCAATTCTGCTGGCCCTGATTGTTATTTTTCAGTTTTCACTGCCTATGGTTTTCAAAGTTTATGCTTAAGGCTCGCATGCCGTTAATCACACTTAATAAGATAACTGTTTTTTAGTTATAACTACAAGTGTTTCACTTCTGAAGCCTGTGGTTGTTGTAAACTGTTTTATTTCTTCTAATTCAAACTTCCTCTTCGCGCAAATATTGATACTGACAGTAACATATGTCTTCGCTGCAAACGTTCTTTCTGGTTGAGCACTGAGTATTCTTGTTCGCGTATCCAGCGGCCATCTTTGAGTCGCAAAACTAGAGACAAGCGAAGAAAAGAAAAGGTTATTTTTCTTGCTTATGATTCAGTCACACTGCCTCTCCCCAGGACACGTTTTTATTCACTGAGTTCAGATGGTAATCATCGGATCAAACTGCGCTTGCTCGCAATCGTGCGAGCGAGGGAGGGAGCGAGTGTTTGTAATTACTCCCACGCTACTTAAAATCTGAGACTCTGTGCCAACCTGAGACAAAAAAGCACACAGAAGCTGGTTTTGAACCAAGAACTAATTATAATAGTACATTGTTCATGCTTTACATTTTCGTTCTAGCTTCTACCATCTCAGCGGATGGGTATTCCTCAGACACTGCCAGGGTTGGCGCCATGGGAGGCACTATCCGGTTAGACGCTAACAAGGTGTGTTATTCATTGCCATATGTGAAGGAACCACTTAACTGGTGAAATAGACTAGGCTTGTGATTGATCAAGGCTGGTTGGTGTTTCTCTGTACTAATGCTATACTTGACAATTCAGCGGAAGTATTAAGAGACGTCCAGTTAAGCAATACCAAACTGTTTACATACATAATAGTGAAAATCTTTTCATAAAAGATGAACTGCTTGTAAATTACCGTCACGTTGTTTAAATTGCTTAGTATGCAACTCAACTTCATAGAACCGTTTCATTAATTGTGACTAAGTTGTATTCCTTTGAATTAGTCTTAATAACTTCGTTTGAGAGTAAGAATTTTTTCGAATTATCAACTTTAAAACGAGGTTAGCAAGGCTAATCTATCAAGAATTTACAATCGGCAGCCATTTATGAAAAGATTTACATGGATAGATTTACATTTATTAGATTTACATAAGAATTTTTATTCAGAATGCTTTTTGCTAATCTGAATGGTTGTAACAGTTTGTTATTATTGTTGTTGTTCTTAGAAAAATCTTTCCTTATCAGGTCATTTTGCAAAGAAAGGGCCTTTTGACAGCTCGAGGATGGCAGGCCGGTGGTGGTGTGATCCAGATATGGAGTGACGAGGACATGGAAGGAATCTGTGACTCAAAATTTGACGTAACTGGTAACACACTTGGTCTTGTCAACATCCTTGGTGAGTATTGAGAAGCCTTTGGCCATGGTGTAAATACATCACTTATTTACTGAGATTGACGCTGAGGCAAGACCCAGAAGACTCATAACACTTAGGCTCGATTACTAGCCGCTGTTCGGGGAAAGGAGCCTGCGCTAGTCCCCCGAAGGAGGATCTTCGGGACCGGACCCGAGAAAGCGGCGGAAATCGAGCCTACATAACACTATACTATCTGTGACTCTAGGCGACCTTTGCTACCATTTCAAGTTCAAGTATAAGTTCTCTACGAGCAAATAATCACCGAGTGGAAGCGAACTCGGGATGTGCCATCGCTCTAATAAATGGAACAAAACGTCTAGTTCGATCTTTCAAAATAATCTAGTTTTCTTCTATCAGGCAAATGATCAATTGAATTTATTCCTCCAAGATCTGATGCAAAGAAATCAGTTCAGTTTTCAAACATGTAGACTACTCAAACGAAATTCTTCTCTTTTATTTCTTTCTGTTGCTTTAGTTCAGTATCTCTCGCCTATGGCCCGTGTTCCCACAACATTTCTCGTTCTCCCAAAACGCGAAATATTGTTCCATTTCTTATTTGTTCATTCTTTTCAGTTTCCACCGCGAACACGTTTCAAGTGCAGTATATTCAGCAAGGAATCTTAGAGATCGATACGACCAATGCCAGATGGATGCACAAGTTGTCTTCAAATTCGTCCATGTTATATTCGTATTACGGTAAAATAGAATCAAGGGAGATACCAGCTCTCAACATTCAATATAAAGTCGCGAAATTTGAGTTCCAGACACCGATTCTCATCAACGGCTCTGCAGAGGTTAAGTTGTCGGGTTCACACTCGCTATCTGTGTCCAGCGATGAGGGTATCTACATCGGTGTGGATGTTGTAGTGGGAAAACCAAAAGTGAACGAGGACAAATCTGTCGGTGGATATTGCGTCCGGGGTTCACGTGCTCCAGGTAATACGCTTTACTTATGAACTGTAACAATAACTAGAACTTCACCAACAATCTGCGACCTCAGGTCTGTTAAGTTAGGGCCAACAAGTATTAAACTCCTTGCAGTCTTGTTTTTCTCTCTAAACCATAGCAGGGATTAGGAGGCCGAACGTTTCAGACTAGAAGCGACTGGGACGAGACTTGAGCGCAGCACTTGTCTCGCCCCCACTCCTATCCGTCCTTTGCGTTCGTGTCAGGGGCGTAGCTAGGGAGGGGGGTCCTGGGGTGGCCGTAACCCCCCCTTTTGTAGGCCTTTTTTTAAGCGAACAACCTACAACAGGTGGCAAAAACGACATGACAATCTGGTGAGTAGCCTCACTTTGACACAGTGTGACCCTCCCTTTACAAACTCCTGGCTACGCCCCTGCGTGTTAACACTCTTCTAATCCTAAGAGAAAAGACCGGTTTCCAGCAGTCTTCGCTGAGTATCTTTATCTTTTTTTTCTCATAATACAATATCAAAGGACATCAAATTTTGCAGTCGTTATAAAACAGCCATAAGATAAGTGGTGAGTGGGCACTTGGGACAGAACTGTTAAGGCTTCCAGATCCGCGACCTTGGTGCACGGACAATGAATGAAAGGCACTGATAGATGATAATATATTGACGCAACAATCTCGATAGTTCTGATTTCCATGATGATTTGTATTAGTTCCCGGGGCACACTTTCAATTTACTTTTGTAACTCATGGTAGCTAACCTAACCTTAGCCAAAATGCTGAGAATGCTGAGACCACCTATTAAGAATTTCTTTGCGCAACTGACAAGGAGTTCGCCTTTGAGGAAACAATATCGGCACATATTTTTTCTTTGCTCTCAAAACTTTGTAGGCCTAAAGCTACAGGACTAGATAACATTTCAGCTAAATTGTTAAGGGAGTGCCCTGATTTAATTGCAGAGTCTCTCACTTATATATTTACTCAATCCCTGTTAACTGGTATTTTTCCTGATGAGTGGAAGTCTGCTAGGGTTACCCCATTGTATATGAATCGATTTTCTTTTTCATCCCGTCCTTAGTGAAATATTCTAAATGTGCTGCTTGAATTTTGTTTCTCAGAAGGACTTGGGCCCGGAAGAGGACGGACTGGTACCAATGCTGGCGCTGGGCATGGTGGGAAGGGTGGCTTATTGTTTGAGGATGGTAATGGAACAATTTATGGCAGAACGTACGGAATACGTCATGATATAGAACTTATTGGTGGAAGTACAGGTAAATATGCAGTTTTATGAAACGGTCAACACTTTTGCTTACAGTTCACCTAGGGTTGGATATGAGAGGTTCAAGGCCAGGGCTTGATATTTGAAAGAGCGCTTCATCACAATTTACAAACAACACATCTCGAAAAGATTGGCCAATCTTCTTGAGTTTGTCATGCGCAATCCTTCGTGATTTTCTCAGTTGTGACAATTCTTGTTTATTTTCCGTTTAACATTGCTACTTTGACATTAATCTACCATGAACACTGTATTATTCTGAAGATTCTTTGAATTAAAAAAAAAAATTTGTACAACGGAAAAAAAAAAAAACTCTGGATGTGACATAACTTCGTCGACTAAAAGCTAGATCTTTTGCGGGTTGTGTCACTGATGAAGCCCCTCAATGGAATGGTCATAGCCTGTTAGTCTTGAGTATGCGGTACAGAAGCTTAGGAAGAGATTCAAATTATTTCAGTAATGTTTAGGGCTGAGGACAAGCACGGTTCTCGTGGGCTTCTCTTTGCTAATTTTTATTTTGTTAACCACAGGAACAGCGAATTGCTCGTCAAATGATTGTAAGTGTCAACAACAAGCAAGCAAGCAAACACATAAACAAACAAACGAGCAAATAAGGAAACAAACTCTATTTTCGTAGTCACCTTGTTTTAAAATCCTCAGAATCTTCCCAGTTTTATGTAGTTTGCATATAAGGTTTTCACAATAACAACTCATCGTCTAACAAACATTTTACTATTAACAGTGAAAACTGGATGGTAGGCAGAACTAAGGTTACAATAAGAAATTCGAAACGCTTTGTGTTTGAGCCGTAACTGTCTTGATTGAAAAAAACTAGCTGGTACCACGTTTGCGGGTTTAGATTCTTGGTAGAAGAGCAGCTATCTGCGGTCCATATGCGGATTTCGACTAGAACAAATTTCTCAAGACTGTCATCTTCTTTTCGGGAATTTCGAAATTAAGGTTGAAGAAAACTCGAATTTTGCAGTTTTTAAACCCAAATTGACCATGAAAAATACTGCGTTATTAGCTTATTCGCATTCACTCTTACCTCAACTTCTTGCGCAGACATATAACCCACGCTTGCGCGCGCAAGTCAAGCATATTCCTTGACACTCGAGTTTGCTCGCAATCTTTGTTTTTCTGTTTATTTGCTGCCGTCTTTTTTAGGTACCGCAAAGAACTCACCAGAGTTTGTGGTGGCGTGGGGTGGAGGAGCTATTGAAATTCACACAAAGAAGAACTTAACGATCAGTAAGTATTTGACATGACTCTAGTCTCATTTAATACCGTTTAATGAGCGGTCACGCTACACCTCCAACAAGAACAATAACAATTATAGCACTTGAAGAATTTTGACGTTGACAGTGACTGAAGAACCAACGTCACTTTTTGAAAAGATTGAGGATGGTAAAGGGGCGCGCGGAGAGGGGGGGGTAAGGGGAGAAGGGGAATGGGTAGAGAGAGTGGGCAACAGCCCCAGTGTGTGGTCTGGCCTGTTCACATGATTGTATTTACAGATTCGGTGTGTACATGTAGTAATAGATCATGAAAGGACTGTAAGTGGCTGCCATAGGCGCCTTTACTAGCTGACTTCCAATTTCACCACTGAGGTGACTTGAGAACGTAGTTGTACTTATACAAACGGAAAACGTGCGAAACACATGCATTACCCTCACCAATGCCATAATTTGTTAATTCTTCTGCGTTTGTGCAAGTATTATTGGTTTTCGTTTTTAGTTGTTAAACTTTCCTAACTTGATGTAAGACGTAAACCTCTTCCTTATAATGATAATAAAAATCTTTATACAGAGGGTTCACTTCACCTAAAACAGGGTATTCTGTGAGGCCCTGTGAATCTTGGGTCTGTCGTGTTCACCATCTTTGAACCGTAGTTGAGAGATTTTGTGTACACGCCCTTTAATTTATCTCTGATCTCAAATCGAATTTCCAGTGTTAAATTTCAAAGAAAATTTCAGTAAGCGAAAAATAACTTTAACTGCGTTTTGTCTCTGTTTTAGATGCTGCAATTCTTGTCAATGGTAAGACGTTTTCACTTTTTAATGAGACCAGTAGCGGTGGAAGCAGTGGTGGAACAATTATCCTTTCATCCTTGAAGGTGAAACATACATGCCCCTCATCAACCGCGAGTGAAGTCCGTACAATAAGTTATGGGCCGGGTTCTCACTATCATTTTCATGGCTTCAGTTCGAGATATTAGATATGGACCGCACTGATTGATCAATCATAGCCTCGAAATGATGACTTATCACGATCATGGGTGATCCCATATGGTGTGATATAATTAAACACAAACACATGTTGCATTAACATAGGCACGCTATCATACACACTTTATATTGTATTGCACTTTAGAAAATAGGCGAAAGGAAATACCCGCGCTGATTGGTTTGAAATCGTGTTTGTATTCAACAATTAGATTATGAGCTCGAGATTTCTGTTTAAGTAATAGAGTGTTTCTGTCGTGAGACTATCGACTGATAGTTGCCCCGCGCAAAATTTGTCGAGAAGCGAAGCTTCGAGGGAAAATATGCTAGTTGTAAGAACATCAAATTTTTAAGGGGCAACTATGAGACCGATAGTTCCGAGACATTAACACTCTATTGTCTTTATTGTTCACTACTAAATTTTCTTCCCCGCGCCAGTTCAAAACTCATATTCAACTCTTTTTTTGTAAATTTAGATGAAAGGTGTGAAAGCCAAATGTAAATTGAAATTTAAATGTAAATTTCTATAAGCCCGCTTGTTTACAGAAAAATTTTCACGGACGAATACTAAACATCCAGGTATTTTCCTCGGACGGGCACTATGGGCAGTTATAGTTCACCACTAAATTTTCTGCGATTCTTAGTGGTTTAAACTGATCAACTGAGGTGATATCAGAAGAAAATACCCGGATGGATAGTACTTGTCCGCAAAAACTAAACAACTGAACTTGCGTTAAGTGGGTTTTGTCTATTTTCTTTTTCGAAATTTATCATTTGGCTTCCAGGGCTTTCATCCAAACAAGTTGAAATTCAAGTTGAAATTCAATATGATTTTTGAACTGGTGCGCGGAAGAAAATTTAGTGGTGAGCAATTAAGACAACACAGTGTTTATGTCTCGGAACTATCGGTCTGATAGTTGCCCTCGGAAATTTGACGTTCTTAAAACTAGGATGTTTGCCCTCGAAGTTCGCTTCTCGGGCGTCAAATTTCCGCGGGGCAACTATCAGCTGATAGTTCCTCGACAGAAACACTCTATTATTGAAATGTCTCTCCGCTAATGAACTATCACGTCACGTGATCAATTTAAACCAATGAGAATCGGAGAAAATTTAGAGTTGAATTATAATTAAACAATAGAGTGCTTCTGTCGAGGAACTATCGGTTGATAGTTGCCCCGCGGAAATTTGATGTTCTTAAAACAAATATTTGCCCGAGAAGCGAAGCTTCGAGGGCAAATATG